TTATGAAGATACATGGACTGATGGGATCATTCTTATAACCTTCTCTGACTAGGTACTCACTTAATCTATTGTACCACATGCGTCCACTTTGTTTCAGTCCATAAAGCGATTTGTTCAGTCTTATGCAGTATTGGTCCCGAGACCCTTTCTTATCTTTATCTTTGAGCTCAATACCCTCTGGTAATCTCATATATATTATCCAGTGGACTTATATAAATATGCAGGCATTACATCCATTAGCCGCAAATCAAGTCTTTTTCTTTATATAGCCAGACTTAGCAAAATTTAAATGTCTTAGCATCCACCACAGGGGAGTATGTATCTTCATAATCTATCCCCGGTCTTTGTGAGAATCCTTGTGCTATAAGCCGTGCCTTATATCTCACGCTTTATTATTCTCATTTCTCTTTCTCACAAAGACCCACTTGTGTCATACTGGTTTTATCCCTGAACTTAACTCCACGTTTATGGCTTCTTTCCATTTTAGCCAATCTGATCTTTGAGTGCACTCTAATATAGACGTGGGTTCATGATCCTCATTCATTTCAAGTGCTACCTTATATGCAAATATTTCATCGATGTCGACATCTTTGCGGTTCCATTTTATTCCAGACATGATATAATTTATTGAGATCTCATTATTATCTATCCCTTCAGGACCATGAGGATTGGCGTCCCAAATCTCTCTATTCGGTTCCTTAGGGTCTGCCGCGGCCATGTCTATTTTTTCCTTCACCTCGTTTCCTACTGCACCTTTCTTTGATTTTCGAGGATTTTTATCTTTGGAACCTATTGGTCTACCACGTTTCTTTCGTGTGTTAGACTCGGTAGTAATTTCATTGATTCCCTTTTGGATATCAATACGTACTGGTGCATTACAAGCTGGTATGTACGTTTTTGTAACTTTCTTTGGGTCAACAAAGGAATCTGGCAATTGATTAGCTAGCTTTTCAAATGGTATAATCTTATGGACCTCTGATTCTCATGCCAGAGTCCGAGGATCTTGCCAATTTAAGGATGTTTGATTCCATTATATTTCTTTTATTGCTTTACCCAGCTTGTTCGTCTCTCCACCTATAGTAGGAAATTCGGATTCATTAAAATGACAATCCGCGTATCTAGCCTTAAATAGATCACCCGTAGTTGGCTCTAGATACTTAATAATGGTGGGAGAATCAAATCCAACATATATTCCCATCCTCCTTTGAGGTCCCATCTTTGTTCTATGTGGTGGAGCAATCGGTACATATACGGCACACCCGAAAGTCTTTAGATGGGATATGTCTGGCTCATGACCCATGAGTAATTGGGATGGTGAATATCTATGTTCACTAGATGGCCTTATGCGTATAAGTTCTGATGCATGTAAAACAGCGTGTCCCCAAGCGGCTACTGGGAGCTTTGACCTCATGAGTAATGGTCGAGCTATCAATTGAATTCGTTTAATGAAGGATTCCGCTAATCCATTATGTGTATGTACATGTGCTACGGAATGTTCCACACTTACCCCCATGGACATACAGTAGTCATTAAACGCTTGGGACGTGAATTCACCGGCATTGTCTAGACGTATAGTCTTAAGCGGAAAATCTGGAAAGTGGGCTCGCAGTCTTATTATCTGGGCCAATAACCTAGCAAACACTTGGTTTCTAGTAGATAGGAGACAAACATGCGACCATCTTGTTGATGCATCAATGAGGACCATACATATATCTCCTTGTATCCTTTCCAGAAAATTTAAGGTCTCTTTATTTACCTTAGCCGGTGATGGCCTTATAATGAGTTTCCCTTGTGAACATGCTTCACACGTGAGATTCTTAGGGATAACTCTTTTCTCTCTTAGGGTGTGCCCCTTTGAATTAGTTATTAGTTTACGCATCATACTATGACCCGGATGGCCAAGCCGGTCATGCCATAAAGTGAATTTCTCGATGAACTCTTTGTTCATTGCCATATTAGCTTCGATCATATCGATTTTAGCATAGTAGAGACCAGTGGATAATGCGGGTATAGTCTCTAGGACTTTCTTATGTCCTTGGGTGATCTCAATTATATTTAGGAATTCTTTGTTCCCTTCACCCTTTGTTTCAATATGGAAACCATTCAATCTTATATTTTTGAAACTTGACAAGCTCCTCTTCGAGCTGGGTGAATATAGGGCATCGCTTATTTCAAGATGCGTGCCCTTTGATAAAAGTATATGGGCTTGACCGTGGCCCTCAATAAGACTAGCTATACCTGCTATGGTGCTAATATTGGCATTTTCAATGTTAGATTTATAAAGTATCTTTTGTCTTTTTAAAATTGTGTGGCTCGATCCACTATCCACCACAATTATGTTCTTGTCCT